CTGGGGATTCGAACCCGCCACCTTAGGTGTACGTGGCTGGCGCCTTAGCCGGTTGAGCTATAGGCGCCGAGCCTTTTTTGCTAGTTTTATGAAGCCATTTTTAATTTTACAAAAATTATTTACCCTCAATGAGAAAGCACAGGCTCAATTAGACATCAAACTTCTTTGTTTTGGTCTGGAACTTTCTTTTTTGTACTTGTTATCCATGATAATCAGAAAGCTCAGACTGGTAAATAACAGATGCAATTGATAGACACTACAACTGAGTGAGTACAAGGTAATAATTTCAGACTGGTGGACAAGATAATAGAAGAGGTCCCAGATCCCTTTGTGATTAAAAAACTGGGAGCTAGATTGTAAGGTCAGTTAAAGATGAAGCCATGGTGAAGTCCAACTGGGAAGTGGCCTTCCCAGTGGGAAGTTCATTCTTGCACTAACCCCAAGTTATGCTTTTCTCTATAAGTCACTGTGAAGACTTTCCCTGAAGGATGAAAGCTAGGATTTGGGGTGGGATAGCACTTACTGTTTGGTAGGTGATGACCAGCTGGATCACGGGCAGGGCATAGAACACAGCTATGGTGATGATGTTCCTTGCAGGCAGAGAGAACCAGAAATAGTTATTTCCAAATTGACAATGGAATATTTGCTCAATATTTTTGAAAGAATCTTTCCATCCCTTAGGTCCATAGTTAGCTTGTAAAAGTAATTAGAAGCTGATTGTGCAGTTCCTGTTTCTCCAGTCTCCCTCTCCCTGTCTCTTGCATTTGGTCCACAATCTTTTCTCTAAAGGGGAGGTAAAAAAGTGAAGCAAAACTCCCCTTGGCTACTGTAAGTTCAGTTGCAGAAAAGAACAGTGAAAATACTAACTGAAATGGTATATTTGAAGGTTAATGGTTGACACTCAACAAATATTAGGATTTTTTTCTCCTTTCTTTTCATACAACATTTTGTACAACAGTATAAATAGGTTTAACCAAATCATCCATGAGGGCCTATGTCTTTAGAATGTTGTTAGATGAAACATCAGAGTGCAAGTACTGGGCGATAGATCACATGAAGGAGATGTAGATCTCTTAGATGCCTCAATTGCACACTGATGGTCCCACTCTGAAATTCCATGTGGCTCCCCTGTCCCTTGTTTCCCTAAAATATCTATTACCAAGTAAAATCATGCAAGGAGCTGTCAAAAAAGGACAAGAGTCACCCTGAGGTCCTTGCTAGGCAGCTCTGTTCCTTGGCTAGGAGGGAGGCTGTGTTCATCTATCATTGGCTGGTCATATTATCACCTAAGCCTGTGGCTCATTAGACACTAGAATTATGTGACATAAGTGGTTGTGGTTCTTACAAAGAAAAGTTTACATTTACTTATGGGAACCATGATCCTGCTGCTTATCTACTTACCAAAAATAAATCTTATATTTCTTGCTAACAATTCTCCGGTCCTTCCTGGACAGATCTGACAGGTAAAGGAACATCTGAGATGCCAAATAAAAATAGAACACAAAACTGTACTTGGGTTTTTATGTATAAGATACAAAGAAGAACTTTACAAACTTCAATTTCAATTAGAATTATTAAAAGTATTTGAAGGAGAAAATTATCAAAATTTAATTTATAAACTAAATTAATATTAAAACGATTCAAGGATTTTCTTTTAATTTTGCTTTCCCATAATACCTTAACAAAAATCCTAATATTTCTCATGGAATAGTCAGAATTGACTGATATGGGCAATCTATTGAGAGTCTTGACACCTTTTTTCTTTTTTTTTTTTTGAGACAGAGTCTCACTTTGTCTCCCTTGGTAGAGTGCTGTGAGGTCACAACTCATAGCAACCTCCAACTCTTGGGCTGAAGCAATTCTCTTGCCTCAGCCTCCCAAGTAGTTGGGACTACAGGTACCCACCACAATGCCCAGCTACTTTTTCTTAGAGATGGAGGTCTCACTCTAGCTCAGACTGGTCTTGAACTCATGAGTTCAGGCAATCCCCCCGCCTCGGCCTCCCAAGTGCTGGGATTACAGGTGTGAGCCACCACACCCTGCCTTTGACTATTTCTTATATCTCAAGAATTGGTTTCCCAAATTTCAGAGATGTCCACTGTGTGCTTCTTAAATTACACAGGGTTGAAATTGTGCAAATTACCTTCATACTTTTTACTTGATACTAGACAATATAATAACATATGCCAGGAAGAAATGAACTTTATGACTCATTTTATGATATGTACAGAACCAGGGAGCTTTTTCTGGGTATACTCCTCAAATCAATCTTTTCCTCCATGTGGTTGGACTCTTTCATCCCTATTGCCCACAGGCAACCACTCCAGACCTTGAGAATGTTTTAATGCTCTCTTCCTTCTTTTTAATACACTCACTTTCTTTCTTGAGAAAAAAGTGCTAATTCACCCAATATTGCTTTTAGTGTATAGTTATGTTTTACCTAAACCCTCTGGGAAATCTAACTTCCTCTAAAGGAAAAAAAATAAAGGAAACTGAGGTATTGCTGAAGTTTATTTTACTGCTAAACTTTCTGCCCTCTCAAAGAGTATGGCTGGCTAGAGGTAGGCACCTTGGTCCGGATGATGTTTTTATCACTCTCGATGTCTGGCATGGTGTCAAAGTCACTCTCTTCCACGGAGCTGTCTGTGTCTGACTGGCAGGGCAGCCCACCATCGGAGGAGGACATCTGCCTTCCAGGACTGGAGCTTGACTCATCTGAAACAGAGAAAACTCATCTGCCTCAAAAGCCAAGAAGAGCCTAGGAAGCTCATTCCTGTCTACAAAAAGCACAGGGTGGACTCATTCCAGAAAATACTGTGTTGGTCCAATCTAACTCCTTACCCATGAGACATGTTCCTTCTCTCCATTCCTTCTCAATGGTTTTAGTTTTCCTCTTCTATTTTTATATTTAAATTGTCTATCTCTAGGGCTAAATATATATTAGAATATAAGAGTATCTGCTCTGTTAACTATCTGGATGCAGAAATAACATTGTGCTTATATTTCATGTTTCATATTTTAAAATGTGGACATACATGTATAAACATACACATGCACATAGCTATGTATAGCATCTAATCACATATATGTGTAAGCACACACATATCGGCAGCTATACATTTCTCATGGGTAGAGTATTTGTACACAGAAATCCCCCCACATGCTGTATCTATGATTATATAATGAAAACAACATTCTTGGGAAGAAGAATCCTTCTGTTCCCTTGAATGTTTCCCACAGCAGATGGGAATTGTGCAGCTTGATGAGCACATGAGCTGAGCTTACCTTCCGCTTTATTTCTTCTGTTCAGATGGCTTAAAAAAAAATCCTGTTCTTACAGAACTAAAAATAAGTAGCCTTCACTGAGCCCACATGCTTCTCAAAGTTACAGAAAGAATAACAGGGTAGGAATATGAGATTCCCAGTCCCCTAGTGATTCTCAACCTGTGGGTTGTGACTCCTATGGACTGTATTAAAGGTTCGTGGCATTAGGAAGGTTGAGAACCACTGCTCTACACTGACATTTTAAGAAGCTCCATTCATAGGTCTACAATCAACATGAAAGGAGCAGGCAGCTCAATGTGCTCCTACCCTAGCAAGACAGGTATAAGGATTCTGTTCCCTTCAGGCCACTTAAGAAAGACTGGGGTTTGCCATGTGATTGGGTGGCAGAGAGCAGGTTCAACTATGAAGTTAGACAAAATGAAGGGTTGTTAGCCTACAGCCATGTTCACCTGCAGCACTGCCTTAGTCTTCCGATCTCCCTTACTCCACTGAAACCTGAGAATGAAACAACTGTCAATTGATGTCAGGCTCCTGGGATACATCTCTCATGCCCTAAAAAGTCCCCTGGTATTAAGTGACAATTATTGTAGGGAATTCTGCTCAAGTGTGGCTAGGAGATCCAAGAAACAGAGCAATAGAACTGGAGAAAGTTTCAGCTGGAAAGAAGCTTCCGGATCCTCCAAATAATTCATCTTACATACAAAAGACAATCCCAGGATGACTGTCTGGCCCATGCTCACAGTTATTAGTGGCTGGAGGGCCTGTTCTCTGGAGACTGAGGAAATACTTCCATGAAGGAGTCATTGTAGGAAATACCTATTGTCCCATAATTGCTCCCTTCAGGTGTGCTAGCAGCAATGGGATGTGACACCACCATGTTTCCTGAGCCTGTTAAAAGAAGCAAAAAGGCAAACACTTTACATACAGTTGCTAAAACAAAATAACACAAAACTAAGTAGCTTAAATTATCAGTCCACGACAATTTAAATTTGATTTTCCTTTTACTTTAATACAAGAGACACCAAACTATGGTTCACATACCGAATCCAGCCTGCTACCTGCTTTTATACAACCCTACAACTAACAATACTTTTCAAATTTTTATTTTTATTTTTTAGAGATAGGGGTCTTGGGATGCTTCCCAGGCTGGTCTCAAACTCCTGGGCTCAAGTGATCTTCCCACTACAGACACTGCACTAGCAGGGACTACAAACACCAACTATGGAGCCCAGCTCTTTTTAAAATTTTGAAATAGTTTGATAAAAGAATATATCATATATATATTGTTGAGACATAATGTCACTTTGTTGCCCTCAGTGGAGTGCTGTGGCATCATAGCTCAAGCAACCTCAAACTCTTGGGCTGAAGTAATCCCCTTGCCTCAGCCTCCCAAGTAGCTGGGACTACAGGGGCCCACCACGATACCCGGCTACTTTTTTTAGAGATGGGGTCTCACTGTTGTTCAGGCTGGTCTCAAACTTCTGAGGTAATCCACCTGCCTCAGCCTCTCTGAGTGCTAGGATTACAGGTGTGATCCACTTCGCTCGGCCAGAAGAATAATATTTCATGACAGATGGAAATCATATGAAAGTCAAATTTCAGTATTTGTATATAAAGTTCTGTTGAAACACAGCTGTGCTTTTTGGAGAAATTCTATGGCCACTTTTGTGCTGCAGTAGCACCATTGAGTAGCTGCAGCAGAGCCCGTGGAGCCCAGCTGCCTAACATATTTACCATTTGGCTCCTTAGAAAAAAGCTGATTGTTTCTGTACAGTATTATAGAATCACAAAAATAAAGGGTCTGGAATTACTGAAGGGAAGCCACCACTACACAGAAACAATAGGAAGAAAACTAATTATTAAGCCACTGTGATTTGGAAGTTTATTGTCCTAACATTTAGTAATACCTTACCTATGAGCAGGAAGCCCAGATGGGAAGACAGTTACTGTACTCACTGGAGCAATAAATGACAACAGCCTGAACTAAGGATGTGGAGGAAGATGAATTAATTTGAGGGACATTGAGGAGGTAGAACAGATTTATTTATTGCCTTCTGCTCGTTGGCAGCAAGAGAAAAACAGACTCTAAGGTAATACTTCTCAAACTTTTCCAGTGATACTTGTAACAGAAAGGGTGTACTCATTGCTCTGAGAGCCTGTAGTTATCCCAACACAAGTACCAGAGAAAGGTCTTCCCAGCGTTCTTACTGGTTATCAGGCAAGATGCTATCCCATTGAGTTTATCTGTTCCTGAGAACCAACCCAAACTGAACAAAGGTCAGAAACCATAAATGAGGGAGCATGGAGGCAGTTTGTTTCTGATTTAGGTCCACAACGTGTCTACGAGCCACAGCCATCCATGCAAATGCATTTCGTTTCTTCACTGCCATCTGCGATTTCTGAAGGGTCTGGGATATTGTCAGGCTGGTGGGAAATTTCAGTAAATTTCTCTTTCTGAGACATAAGATTCTATGTCATATCACATGACAGACAAGAAAGTCTGTGAGTTCACTGATCAATATCTTGTACTATTGCAGGGAAATATATTTTCAGTGAAGAAACACAAGGATATCCTAAAATGTCCTCACTGTAAATATATTTTCATTTATTCACTGAAAACAAAGTTCATCATAGTTTACATTAAAGCTACAGCTTTTAACACATGCAGAAGAACCGAAAGCCTCAAACAATGCCTAGTTGTCACAGTCAATTATCTTCCTCTAGCTCTCAAACTTCATGGGAGGGCAGTAAAAATATTCAGTTTATGAGCCAACTTTGTAGGCTTTATCATGCTTTTTTGTTTTTTGTGTAGCCATTGAGAAGGGACAAGGAAAGAGGCTTCAAGGGGGGTGGGAGGAAAGCCTGGCCTTCTGAACAAGGAGTTCTGAAGGCCCATAGGAACATTCAATAGTTAGGTCAGCACTCAGCAATTCTCACCAAAAGGGGAAAGGAATGTGCATATGAGGTAAACCTAGGTAACCAATTACCAATAAAAAAGGACAATAATCAATGACCAATAGAAAAGGATAATAATGCCTGGAGGTTCCAAGAAACCAATGACAGAGTTACAGACAGTTATAAACAGAGAAAAAGAGGGTATTTATATCTCTATGTGGCCCTTCTGTTTCTCTGTCTTCTCACTGGTGAGAGGGCCCCACTTCTAACTCCCTTTGGAAGTGCTCTAAGCTTTCTCTTTGCTTTTAAATAAACTTTCTCTTTGTTATACTAAAGCTTGGAAGTGACTTTTGCCTTCTATTTCTTGCTGCAGTTTTACTTTCAATTTCTACCCACTTTTGCTTTTGATTCCTGTGTACCTCTGTTGAACTTTCTAGTTCTGCTGATTAATTGAGCCAGGTTCACTGGGGTTGGGGAACCAGGATTCCTTAACCCCAGTAGTCATTAATTTCCTCTATAAAGAAAAATTAAAAGTTCAAAACATTTAGCCAAGTGAGAAGAGACGAATCTGATAGCCTTGGAGACTAATTTTCTTTTTCTCCTTTTGGTATCTTAGCCAAGAGTTGGCTCAGTGGGACAGCAAGTGTTTTGACTAATACAGTATTCTTGGGCTGTTCTGTAGAATATAGACCTTGGCCTTCAGAGCACAAACTTTGGTCCTCAGAAAGCATACTCCCTGGCATTATTGCTAGGCTTAGAGAGCTCTCACTTTCCCTCTCTATCTCTCTTTTTGAGACTGAGAGTCTCACTCTGTTGCCCTGGAAAGCAGTAGCGTCATCATAGCTACAGCCTTAAACTCCTAAGCTCAAGTCATCTTCTTCTACCTCAAACTCCTGGAGTTCTAGGATCAGAGGTATGAGTCAGTATGTCTGGCCTTGGAGATTTCTTGATATATCTTTCATTATTTAGAGAAATTAGGTGTTCCCTGGCCTTTCTTGAGCTAAGCCATATATATATAACATGGCATAAACGCTATGTATGCTTTTCATTCAAGTTTAAGGCAAAGAAGTTACTTTCAGACTCTTAAGTATGAAAGATCAAATATTTTTAGCACAATAACAGAGTTATGTGAAGATGTCATCTTTAATTTGATTGACTCTTTGACTTAGGAAATTTTGGCCATAGTGGCAGCATGAAGTTTTTCTGCTGCTTCTGCTACTGTTGGCTATCACAAGGGCCACCACGATTACCACCGCCACTAGGATTGCCATTGCTATGACTGTGTTTATTACTGTTACCAGTGCTGCTGCTCCTCTTCCTACTGACAAATGTCTGTTGAAAACTTACTGTGTCAGGATGGCACCTGTGGCTCAAAGGAGTAGGGCGCCAGCCCTGTATGCCAGAGGGGGCGGGTTCAAACCCAGCCCTGGTCAAAAAACTGCCAAAAAACCCCACAAAAAAAACCTTACTGTGTCAGATACTGTTTTAAGTTCTTTCTAAGAATTTATTCTTTTTGCTTTTCAATAACTCTAGGAGGCGGGTACTGTTATTATCACCATTTTACTAACTTCTGAGAGATCAAATAATTTCCTCCGCCACTTGGTGGATGGATAGTAGTTCACTGTATTGGTCTCAGTTAAAACTTATCTTCCTTTTAAAAAATTTATTTTTATTATATATATTTAAGATGTACAAAGCATCGTGTATTGAGAAATATACACTTGTATACAGAAACACACATAATGTGAAGTGATTACTACAGGCCAGCAAATTAACATGTCCGTCACCTGTCACAGTTACCTCTTTTTTGTTATTGTAAGAGTACCCAAAATCTGTTCTCTTAGCAAATCTTCAACATAGAGTACAATATTTTTAACTACAGTCCTCCTGCTATACACTGGACCCCTAGACTTATCCTGTATAACTGCAAGTTTGCTGCCTTTGCCATATACCTCGTCATGTCTGCCTCCTGTTTTTGGTATCTACTGTTCTACTTTGTTTCTTTGTATTTGACTATTTTTTATATTCCACATAGAGGTGAGCTCATACAGCATTTTCTTTCTGTCTCTGATATATTTCATTCAGCATAATGTCCTCTAAGTTCATCCAGGAAGGACATGTTGCAAATGGCTATATTTCCTTTATAAAGACCAAGTAATATTCCATTGTACATATATGCCATGAAATGATCTTCTTAATTGAAATTGAAAGAGCTTAGGAAATTTAACCCCAAAATAGGACTCCTTAGTATAAAGGATATTTTGAATGAAAGGCTCTTAAAGATAAACAGGCCCTTGGAAGAGGCTTTCCCTGTATCTACATAAACCAGACTGACCTGATCAAAGAGACAATTGACTTCCCTTTCTCTCCCTGTTATCTCAGTATATTACAGGAAAGAAGATTCAGAAAACAACCAGACCTGGCTGAAATTACTTTGAACACAATACTTCTCTCTCTCAGGTTAATTTACAAGTCAGTTTGTTTTCCCAGTCCATTTGTCCTCCTTAACACCATTCGTCACTCCTAAACAGAATTACCTGCATTCCTCATCTCCCCTCCCCTCGAGAAAGACAGGTATAAAAATATCAGGGGCAGCGCCTGTGGCTCAGAGGAGTAGGGCACCAGCCCCATATGCCAGTAGTGGAGGGTTCAAACCCAGCCTCAGCCAAAAACTGCAAAAAAGAAAAATATATATACATCTATATGTATATATATCAGAACTGCATTGGGCTATTGAGTTCTCACTCCATGATTCTCCCCTTGTGCTTGGTAAATAAACTTTTTCTTCTTAATTTGCCTTAATTGTAAGTTGATCTTTTAGTGAACTTTCAAGGGAAAGGGTTTGTTTCCCCTCATCCTTACAAAATACAGAGATTTTCCTTCAACATATGAGTAACTGGCAGTAAATATGTTACTCTCATGTAGTGCTTAAGAATATCTGTCCAGGGCCAGGAGCAGTGGCTCACGCCTGTAATCCCAGCACTCTGGGAGGC